AACTCCGTCCTCTGATGTTATACAAATTAATATATTGTCTTGATCCCGTCTGCGTTACGGGAGAACGTACTAGAAACTTTGCACGGACTGCGATCCGTATCTGTCTATCATTTGTTTACCTTTCATACTTCAATAAAACGTTTTTTTGGAAAAAAAAAAAAAAAAAAAAATGGAGACATGGGGTCATAGTTACAAAACCTTTTTAGTTAACCCAAGGAGGCAGAATTTACTTAGTGTAACACCAACAACTGTTGCTTTTGCCTGCATATCTATAGAAGGAGATAATGTTTGACACAAAGGGAACTGGATTGTTGCAGCTATATTTTACCGCTCGACAATTGCCTGTCAATTGTGCAGAAACTAACCGTATTAATTATCTAATCAGAAACTAGTCATTCTGATTGCATGTTATACCAACAATCACTACTGTTCTACTAGAGGTGAAAAAGACATCGTTTACAACAAAAATATCCCCTTTAAGAATATTTAAACCCAATATTTCACATTCCTGATATGTGCCTGCTGTACCATGTACCTGTATTACAAAAGTATCCTGTTCTCTTTGTATTGTTTCCTTTGTGTGAAATACCTGGTGTTCCTGCCAGTCCTGCTTCTTTCCTATTTAAAAACTGACCACACTAGGCATGAGAAAGCAGCCTGGTCAGTTTTCTGGCTGTGCTGGGAGCTAATCCAATGATCAGGCTTGTGCTGACATGCCTCCCCCCCTGCACAGCCATTCAATGGGAAGTTCAGTGTGCTCTTGTTTCTCCTCCCCCCCAGCTCTCTAAGCTCTTGCTGCAGCTGAGATCAGAGGGTATGCGATCACTTATAAAAAACAGAAAAAAGAGGTATTTATAATGTTTTTATATATACACACAAATATTTTGCCTTTCATTTATAGTTTAACCTGAAATCAGTTGTTTTACAAGGTGAGGGTTCACACATATTTTAAGGCTGCATTCACACGGCAGTGTAGCAGTTGCCAGTGGGACGCTGGCAAGGGTCAGTAGATTCTTGCCAGCAGTTGTAAATACTCAGTGGAGCTGGGTACTCTGCACAAATCAATAGCCGGTGCTGCTGTTGTATGCATGTAGGCACACATCTGAGCAGTTACATATGAAAAGAGTCTCCAACATATCTTAGACTCGGGGTCAGAATTTCTGTGGAGTTTTGGCCACACACACAAAGTGGTCGCAGCTAGTCGACCAGTTGGCATGTGGTAATAGCAGAGTGTTGCTGCATCCAGAGTTAGCATTTAGTCACCTCTGAGTGCAGAAAGCTATCCGTTGCTAAGCTTCTATGGAAATGCAGCCTTAGAGGGCTCCTATAAGAGGTTAATTATGGATTGTAGGTAAGTATTATTCAGAGAGTAGAGACACAGAATAGGGAGTAAGTAGGGAGTTTAAAAACTGAAAAGAGAAAATATGGTATTAAGTATGTTATTCTGATGTGAGGTATTACATTTAATTTAAAAAATTGTGAATTGTTACTATTTGGATCATATACTCCATAGTGCAAACTGATTCACAAAATCCACCTTCATAACCAGGTTATTTTGTGCTATTTGGCACTGTGAAACTTTAACTGGTAATTGCGTGGTCAAGCAATGCTGTACTCAAATTAAATTTATATCATTGTTTTTCACACAAATAGAGCTTTCTTTTGGTGGTATTTGATCACCTCTGTTTTTTTAATTATATAAGTAAAAAAAAGCCAAACCTTTTGGGAAAAAAACAATTTTTTTACTTTCTACTATAAAACATATCTAATTAAAAAATCAAATATTTTCATAAATTTAGGCCAAAATGTATTCTGGTTCATGTCTTTAGTAAAAAAATATTAATAAATGTATAATAATTAGTTTGCATGAAAGTTATAGCATCTACAAATGATAGTGTATATACTGGAATTTTTATTTATTTATTTTTTATACTAGTAATGGCAGTGATCAGCAACTTATAGTGGGGCTATGATAGTGTGGCGGGCAATCTGATACTAATGAACACTTCTTGGGAACTGACTAACTGACACTGACATCTCCAGTGACACTAATAATCAGTGCTAATAATATATACTGTCATTGTACAAATTATGCTGTTTGGGAAGTGGTTAACATCTAGGGGCAATCAAAGGGTTAACTGTGTGCCTAACAATTGTAAAGTGTTCTGCTTTTACTAAGCAATCTGACTGTTTTATCTTCCTGCTTCTCAGGGAGAAAAAAAAAAACCAGCCCCATCACAGCACTCTGTAGAGAGCCCTGTGTTGTTAACCAACACAGGGCTCTTCTGTCATTTGCTCAGCAGATCAGTGGGATGGTCTTAAATCATTGCCCGGGACCCTCTGATCGGCTTCTGCTGTAGCGAATTACCTACCTGAAAAATCCGGATCACATACATGTACATGATCCAGTTCAGCAGGGCCTCTCAGCTACAAGAAATCTGCAGTAGGTGGTCCATAAGTGGATAATCTAATTTAAGCAAAATCTGTCATGAAGTGCAATACCCACCTAAAGAGCTTCTGATGGAAGCTTTCATTATCTGAGTTTAGTTTTTAGGTGATTAATTACCTAGGATACTGCATTACAACCACTATGCAGCCTGTGAGTCAGATAATGGCAGCTTCAATCAAAAGCTTCTGGTATAGGTATTCTCTTTAAAGTTAGCAGCTGCCATTATGCTGCTTTTTCTCCTTCATTTTTCTTAAGGTCAGAAAAAGCCATTACTCTCATACTAGTCATTAACACATAAGCCTGAGTGTCCAGATGTCTTGGTGTTTACTGGAAATTCTGCATTGACAAATACTACAATTATATAGACATTAATATTACATCACTTTAAATTCCAAGCACAAACCTGATCTCAGTGAAGAGGAGTAATCTCTTACCTAATCCTATGTGCATGCTCACAGAATGTTATCTAGCTTTTGAAGTTGACTCATCCATCACAGAAATTGATCAACTTTGCAAAGCATAGGACATTGGTTAGCTTACAAGTTCAGACTCCATAAGCCTATTAAAGGACTAACAAGCACATCACCATTACTTAGCTATCAAATATTCCCTATTTCATAAAAAAATAACAAGAATAAAGCCATGACAACAGATGGGACAAAAGTGCATGTTATAAATTATATCATGACAAACACTTGCTGCAGGAGTTGTAAATTGTTCTGTTATATTAGCTGAAATATTCACACAGTGCAATAGGCAAGCCTCATCTCTTTGTAGTAGCCGTATAATGCACATTTTAGTGGCATTGTTAGAATAAAAGTTTAAATACATATTTTCCAAACATTTATTTTATGCATTGTTTTTATTTTGAGTCTTGCTCTGTGAACCTACAAGTTATTGTTATGAAAAAAGTTCTATTCTTTATCTTGTACTTTTTTTTCTTTGATTAAGTAACGATGCAGCGTTTTGATTTTCAATGCATTTTCTTTAAGGGGAGCTGTTCAATTTTGGCTTTATATTTATGAACCTTCTGGAGATTAAAGGTGTGATTGAGGCTTCAAACAGCAGGAAAATTTGTTTTTTGTATGTCTGACACACCAATGTTTTTAAGAGCATTGTTATCATCTGCTATGGTTGGCATCATTCAGGGATCAATCATTTTATCTTGCTCCAGCTATCCGGAGGATTTGTAGGATTACAATATATCTTTGGCAGAGGTTCAGTTGTTGGAGCAGATGCTTTTTTTCACTGCTGAATTGATCATAATAAAGCATCACACACTAAGAGACACACAGTCCTTGCTGATGATGGAGAAGTAGAATTGCAAATAAAAAAGGTTGTGTATTTTGGGAAAAAAACGCTATTGATTTATCAATCAAAAATATATATTACATGTACTGAAGATGATTGTATTCCAAATGTAATAGGACAGGAAATACAAATGTTAATGATTGCTTTTAGTAGGGTATATTGAATGTCACACTAAATCTTCACTGCGTTTTTTTTCTGGTGGTGATCCTAAACTATTCTAAATGAAACAAATAGCAATATGTTGAATTATATCAGGTTTCTGCTGTATTGTCATGCTTGTTTGTAGATTTCATGTTTTCTCAGTAAAAAGGTTAAAAAAAAGGTGGAGAGGTGCATAGTAAAAACCATGAAATCCAATTATATTTTGATTTCCTGAATTGAGATTAGTGAAAATGTAGTTGTAATCAATCAAAAACAAAGTGTAAGAGTGCTTTATAAAATCATCTTGCTTTGGCATAACAATTTTAGCATTCAACAATTCAATTTAACATAACTAAGCTCTTAAAATATTTTGGGTGTGGTTTGCTAAGGACTCATTCATACTAGTGAGTTGTGTTATTGCATGCTCATTACCACACATCAACATGCGTTGCATTAAGACAGTCCCATTCAGAACACAGGAAAAAAGATGAATGTAACATTTCTGGCAGCACACTGCACTGCTATGCAAGTTAGTACATTGCTGCACTGCAAAACACATCTGTCATAAAGATGCTCTAGGCTCAATTCAGAATGAATGGCACCTCAAGGCACAAATGTGTTTTGCATGTGTTGTGGTAATGCATGTGTTAACCACTTGCCCTCCTGAGGATTTACCCCTCTTCCTGAACAGGCCATTTTTTGCAACATGGCACTGCATTAGTTTAACTGATAATTGCACGGTCATGCTACCCTGCACCCAAAATGAAATTTATGGTCCTTTTTTTCCCACAAACAGCTTTCTTTCAGTGGTATTTGATTGCCTGTGCATATTTTATTTTTGCGCTATAAACAAAACAAAAACCAACAATTTTGAAAAAAATATATATGTTTTGGACTTTTTGCTAATAAACATGTCCAGTAAAAAAATTTAAAAAATCAAATTTCATCATAAATTTAGGCCACAAGTCTGCTACATAAATAAATATCCCAATATGTGTAAATTAATTGGTTTACATGAAAGTTATAGAGCTTACAAATGGCGGTATATATACTGGAATTTAAACAAAAATATTTTTTTTTTCACTAGTAATGGCTATGATCAGCAACTTATAGCGGGACTGCGGCGGGCATTCTGACACTGGGGGGGAACTGACTTGATGTCACTGACATCCCAGTGACACCAATACAGTGATCAGTGCTAATAAAAAGCACTGACACTGTACTAATGGCACTGGGCAGTAAAGGGTTTAACATGTGGGGCAATCAAAGGGTTAACTGTGTGCTGTGTGCTGTTTTACTATGTGGGCTATGTGTCTGCGTCACTGTAAGCACACTGCTTTGTATGGCTTTGCTATGCAGAGCCATACAAGGCAGTGTGCAAGAGATGATTGTTTACATATAGGTCTCTCCCCCATCGGAAATCCTCGGAAATTGCCGGGTGCTGGCAGGGAATCACCGTCCGGGACCCAGTGATTGACAGCTGAGGCCGCAAATCTGAAAATCACGTATATATACATGATTTTTGCGCACCCGTGCCACCCTGTAGCAATATTTCTGCTCTAGAGCGGCGCAGAAGCGGTTAAAGTGCACATTACTGCAACACATTAGTGTGAATGGCCCCTTGAGAAATATTTTTTTAAACCTAAGCTCATCATGCACATTACAATATGACCATATCATTTATGTAAAAATCAATTATAGATTTACCAATATTACCACAATTCTGTAGAGTGCCATCCTGAACTATACAACCAATCTGTGTCCAATTAGGGAGTCCCTTGCACTACGCAGTTGATTGTGCAGTCAGATTGTAACATGTATGCTGAGCTTTTAGAAATTCTGAGACAAACAGAGGTTCACTGAAACCCAATAAATAAAACTCCCACATAATTTTTATTATGTTAATGTAATTCCAAAAGTAATTTTTGTGTAGTTTTTATTAAAAAAAATACCTGGTGATCCTAACCTTAACTTCCTTATTCAGGCATTTTGTGTTCTGTGCTGACAAAGCTCTGTCCTTCTTTCAGCAAAGAATAAACCCAGCCACGCATTGATGACATCATCAATGTTAAAACAGATTTTAATCCAGCAAAAAGTAGGTTCACAGCATACAATATGATCTCACATCTCCACCTCCCATCCCAATGCTTTTCACCCAAAATGGGCCTAATCTGAATGGAAACTCATGACTAAACATTGGTGAAGTCATCAGTGAGCAGCCAAGTTATTTTATTCTGACAGTGGATCTGCAAAGCATGATGAGAGTGATATTTACATAGAAAAAAAACATTACATAGTTTAAATTGCTGACAAATGACATTTAAAAAAGTGTCATTCCCCCTGTTTAGAGGGGTCTGAGTTGTTTTTTTTAAAAAATAGAAGCCAGAATGAAAATGTCATTTGCCAGCAATTCAAAACCATCTTTCTTTTGTAAATGTCAGTGCTTTAAAAAAAGTACTGCTGCTGGCCCAAATGGAATATAAAAAAAAAATTTGAGGGACCCCCCCGTGCTTATTATTTTTTTTTTTTGCCTACTAGTCAAGAATATGGGCATTTTTTATTTAACAGAATTATATTCATTTCAATGGAGTTTGGGTCAGGTTCTCTGGATTTTGATGAACCCTGCTCGAACTGAACATGTGGCAGCTTGGGCTATCACTATTTATTACCCAATACAGTTTTTCTTTCAGAATTAGTAGAAAATGTGTAATGTTTCTTGTGTATATGTGTGCTAGTAAAGATTTTAATGTATTTTTTTTTTACAAAACTGTTGTCATTTGCACAGTATTGCAGGATGTACAGAATCAGTAGTACCATCTTTTTGTTCTTCTCAGTCCTGTGTTTCCAGAAAATGTATTGTTTAGAGGGGTCTTTCACAAAGTAGGGAAATTGTAACTAAAAAGTAGTGAAAGATGATGTTTAAATGAAAACGTGTGGGTACCTCTGAGGTTAAAAAAAAAGTGGAACCTGGCAGCGAAAGGGTTAAACTTCATCTTATTGGCCAACAGCAGGACAATTTTACATAGCAATTTTAAGCCTAAAGTTAATAGAGACAACGGGAACCCATGGCGGTTTTACTACAATAATATTTTTCTGAGTTTGGAAATTTGCTTTGTAGAATATACAATAATTTTAAAACAATTCAAAACAAGCTTGCTTGTACTCAAATGCTGTAGCTGCATCTATATTAATAAATGCAATGTCTTTAATACTCTTATCCTGTGTACTAGGAGCTGTGGGTAAGGATAACAGTGACACACAGTCAGCAGTAACATTGTTCAAACACAAATTTGGGGAGATTTACTAAAGCTGGTTCACTCAGAATTAAGCTTTAGCAATAAAAAACCTGGAAGCTGATTGGTTTCTATGCAGAAGTGCACGAGATTCTGAGTAAACCAGCTTTAGTAAATATACCCCATTGCGTTGTACAGTGTAGTTAACATTGAGTAGCCTTGCTAACCATCTAGCTGTATGCCTTCTTCCTTGCCCTAGCTTTTAGTGGTAAGCAGTGTAGTTAAACTACCCATCCAACAAGTATGTTCTCCATTTTTTGTTGCCCAAACACATGCTAGGGTTGCCTTTTCTACAGTAGAATTATATCCTTCCTTCTGTTCTTGATGCCAAAAGCAAATGTTTTCTGGCCCTGGTCTGCATGACACTGTATTAGGATTGCACAAAGGCCTTAATGTGAAGGATCTATAATGACAATAGTAGATA